TCTCCTGGTACCAGAGATCGAACTCAGGAACTTGTGCTTGTCAGATAGGCACGGCACTGCTGAGCTACATCCCCAGCCCCTTTGATCATTTTTTTGTTTTGAATTTTGTGATGTACATACTATACAATTTCTCATTTAGTGACCAATTCATTTAATGACCTAGTCAAATGAACAGAATTTGGTCATTAAATGAGGAGTGTCTATACAGTCTCTAGACTACAATTTGACTTACAATTCTTCATTTTTTTTTTTTTAAAGACAGGGTTGCCTGCTATAGTTCAGGCTGGCCTTGAACTCACTCTGTAACCAGGCTGGCCTCAAATTTACGGTGACCCTCCTGCCTCAGCCTCCCAAGTCCTGAGATTACAGGTGCGTGCCACAACAGCCAGATATTTTTTGTATTTTTTTCTGAGACAGATTCTCATGATGTAGTCCAAATGGCTTCAAACTCTTAATTTTGCTGCCCCAGCCTCCAAAGTGTACCATGGTTTGCCATTGTTATTTGTTTGTTGTTGGGCATATGATCCAAGGCCTCCAGCTTGCTAGGCAAGCATTCCTCCACTGAGTTACACCCCAGCCTGATGTTTTGATTTTATAGTGATGCAAAAGCCATCTGCATTTAATAGCCATCACACTTCAAGTTTTGTTTTGCTCTTTTGTGGTACTGGGGATTAAGCCTGGAGCCTTCTTACTTAAATGCATCCCCAGTGCTTTTTTTTTTTTTTTTTTTTTTTTTTTTTTAATCTATAAATCACTAAGTTGCCCATTCTGGGCTCAAAGTTGCCTCTTGCCTTGTAGGAGACATCCCTGCCCAGTACTAGACTATGAGTGGCACGTGCTTCTTGCCTTCCCTAATTCAGCTATACTGTTTTATATCAGGAGTCAGACCAAAGGCCTGCGTGAATCAGATGGACAGTCACCTAGCAGAGTTGGGCTAGCATTGCTCCTGATGGCTGTCACTGAGTCCTAAGTCCTGCTCACTGAAGTGGCAGGGCCCTGCTGAGTTACGTGCAGCTGAGTTCAGTGTGACCTCAACTATAACCCTCTCCCCTGAATTATGGCTTCTCACTGACCTTGTGGGTTGCTTGCTAATTGCACCTGGTCCCAGTACCGGTTTCTTCTATCCCAGAAGATAAGCAGTGCAGACTCCCTAACAGCCCTGCCTGGGGCCACCAGGCCAGGTGCTCGGCAGTAATTCACTAGATGACTCCCAAGCTCCCTAGCTCACGATTGTATTCAATAAACACTGGATGTGCTTGGGGGCCTTTGTCTTTGCTGCCATCAGCAGCACTGACCAGGACCCAAGGCTCAGCTTCCCCACTCTAAGGCTCATTTGTGTCTCTCCTTGAATTCTCCTTGTACTGTGGTGGCTCACAGGCCAGGAACCAGGGTAAAGGTCCTGATAACGTCCCCTTCCCACTCCCTACACTGACTGCCTCAGACTCCCAGAGTCCTGGGATTATGGACATGTACCACAACACTTAGTCATACCTCAGATTCTGAATTGATGCAAGATTCGGGGGGTACTGGGGATTGAACTAGGGTCCTTGCACCTGTGAGGCAGGTGGTGGAACCACTGAGTTACATCCCTGGCCATACTTCAGATTTTGCATTTTGACCTTTCCTGTACAACACAGTAGCACTGAGTGCAGCCCCCAGTTGGGCCCAAAATCATGAGGGAAAATCATGGGGTCCTGTGCAGCCTCCTGAGACTGCTCAGGAAGCATGCTCAGGAGGTTGGGAGTAGTCAGTACATTCTCATTTTATGGCATCTCAAGTGCGATTTATTCTGATGTAACTCCAACCTAGGGGGGTTTTTTGTTGTTGTTGGGTTTTTTTTTTTTTTTTTTTTTTTTGGTTTGGTTTGGTTTGGTACCAGAGATTGAACTCAGGACTTTGTGCTTGTGAGGCAGGCGCTGCACCACTGAGGTAAATCCCAAGTTCCCCACAGTTTTCTTCTAAGAGTTTTATTGTTTTGGCTTTTACGTGATCCGTTTCAAGTTTGTCTTTATATACCATGTGAGGTAAGGGTCTGACCCAGGGCATATTAGAAGCTTACGCTCTACTCCTGAGCTACACACAATAGCCCTGACTTCATTCTTTTGTACAAAGATATCCACCCAATTTTCCCAATGCCATTTGTTATAAAGACTGTTGTTTCCCCCATCAAATGTTCTAGTCACCCTTGTAAAACATTATTTGAGCATATATGCCAGGGTTTATTTCTAGAATTTGCACCTTGTAACCAGTTGCTTCTAAGAACCATTGACTTTTATGTAATAGCAGATAAAAAAATAATAAAAAGCAGGGCTGGGGATGTAGCTCAGTGGTAGAGCATTTGCCTTGCATGTGTGAGAACTTGGGTTCCACTCTCAGTATCAAAAGATGAACAAATAGTAAAATAAAGCTTTTGTTTGCTTGATTTTTTTTTTTTTTGCTTCTTTTGTTTTTTGTTATCTGAGGCAGGCTCTTGCTACGCAGTTCAGGCTGCCCTTGAACTCGTGGTGATCCTCCTGCCTCAGCCTCCTGATTGTTGGGACTACAGGCGTGAGTCACCACGTCCAGCGAAAACAGAACTTTTAAACAAGTCACAGAGAGGTCACAGAGAGGCAACAGCTGAGCCGAAACCTGAGAGGTGAGGGAGGAGGATTGCAAGTTGGAGCTCAGCCTGGACACCTTGGCAACTTAGCAAACCCCGTCTCAAAATAAAAAATTAAAAAAGAGCTGGAGATGTATCTCAGTGGGAAGGCCCTGGGTTCAACCTGTAGTACAAACAAAACAAAACAAAAAAAACCACACCAAAAACTCCAAAAAGCAAGCAAAAAACATTATTTCCTGGGATTTTTAAAGCTCATACCTAAACTTACAAAATTTTGATCATTATAAAATATAAAAATGTAATTTTTATAAAAATTAGTTGACACATAATAATTGTACTCCATAATATTTATGGAGTATACTGTAGTACCATAAAACAGGCATATGCAATGTGTAATGATCAGATCGGGTAATTGACGTACCCACCCTCTGAAATATTTATTATTTCTTTGTGTCTGGCACACTGAAAATCTGCTCTAGCAGCTATATGAAATACACAATTGTTGTCAACCAGTTACCCGCTCTCCTCAGAACTTGAGGAGTGATCCCTCCTATCCAACTGCACCACTGTACCCCTTAACTGTCCTCTCTGTACACCTCCTCCTGAGATAAAATGTAACTTTTGCTGTTGTTATTGCAGTACTAGGGCCTTTGCACTGTTATTGCACCAGCCCATTCCTCCATTTCTTTCCCTCTCTTTTCTTTTTCCTTTCTTCCTTTTACTTTTGTTGTTGTTGTTGTTGTTTTGTTTTTTAAAACAGGGTCTCACTATGTAGTTGAGACTGACGTGGAACTCACTATGTAGCCCAGGCTGGTCTTGAACTCACAGCGACTCTCCTGCCTCAGCCTCCTGAGTGCTGGGATTACAGGCGTGCACCACCACGCCTGGCCCTTTCTTCCTTTTCTCTCCCACCCACCCCCTGCCACTTTTCTCTTATTTTTTCCTTTCTTTTCTTTTGAGACAGGGCTTCACTCACTAAATTGCTGAGTTGCCCAGTGTGAGATCCAATTCTCAATCCTCCTGCCTCAGCCTTCAAGAACCCTGACATTGTAGGCATACACCACCACACCCAGTTTAAAATGAGAAACTATTAGTTTCCAGAGGCTGTAATAACACATGAATACAATTTTGGTGCTTTAAAAGAGTAAAAATTTGTTCTCTCACAATTCTGGAGGACAGAAGCTTGAAATCAGCCTGTGTGAGCTAGAAACCAAGGTGCTGGTGCGGCTAGGCTCCCTTTGGAGGCTCCAGGGTGTTCCCTGCCCCAGCTCTGGTGGCTGCTGGCTTCATGGCTCATGGCTGCATCATTTCAATCTTCAAAGATAGCATTTCTGAACTTGTGTGTATGTGTGTGTGTGTACTGGTGATCAAACTCGGGACTTTACTCTTGCAAGGTAGGTGCTGGAACCACTGAGCTAAATCCCTGGCCCTGATAATTTTTCTTTTTTTTTTTTTTTTTTTTTTGTATCGGGGATTGAACTTGGGACCTTGCACTTGTGAGGTAGGCGGCAGCACCACTGTGCTAAATCTCTGGCCCTCAAACTTTTGCTTTTATTTTTTTTCTTCTCTCTTGGTACCAGGGATAGAACTCAAGGACCTTGCACTTGCAAAGCAGGGGAGGCACCACTGGGCTAAATCCCCGGCCCATCTCTGAACATTTCTGCTCAGTCCTCACATCACCTTCCTGTTTGTCACATTTCCCTCTGCATCTGGGGCCAACATTGACAATCCTGGAGAATGTCCCCCACTTTAAGATGCTTAACAGCTATAAAGACACTATTTCTAAATAAGGTAACATTCAAGGATTGCAGAGACTAGAATCTTGGGAGGGAGGCCATTTGTCACCTACTACAACCTTGCTTACTGGTTCATTCACAAAGTATTGAACTGGTTTTCAAAGACTTAGCATATGCATCTAAATGAGTGTTGAATAGCTGAATAATTTGAAAGTATGATTATATGTCCAAGTGATATATTAGGGATATATTGAGTTAAATAAATTATTAAATTTAATTTCACTGTTTCTTTTTAGGGGATGGATGTGTGCTGGGGATGGAACTCAGTGTGCCAAGCAGGCACTCTTTCACTGAGCTACACCCCAGTCATCTTTTTAGTTTTTTAAAAAGTACAGTCTCTAGGGCTGGAGATTTAGCACGGTGGTTCCACCACCTGCCTCAAAAGTGCAAGGACTTGAGTTCAATCCTTGGTACAAACAAACAAACAGTCTCTAGAACATTTAGAATTATATACATAGCTTGTGTTGCATTTTTATTGGAAAGTGCTATCCTAAGCAAAAGACTGTGGACCATTAACACAATAAATACATCATATGGTGTTTTAGAAAAAAATTAAAGGAGAGTATTTGTTTTATCACTGCTGTAATGATATGCCACAAGCTTAGTACTTTAAAAAATACAGTTTTATTGTCTTAAAGCTTTAGAGGTCAGAAGTCCAAAATGGGTGTTAGGTGTTTAAAATCAACAGCTGGGCAGTTCCTCCTGCAGGTTCTGGAAGGGGAAGCCATTTCTTGCTTTTTTTCAGTTTATAGAATGTCTGCATTTTTTCTTGGTTCTTGGCCTTATCGATCCTCTTTCCCTCCTGCTTCTTATAAGGACCCTTGTGATTGCACAGGGCCACCAAAATCCTGGGAAACCTCATCTTGGTCCTTAATGTGATCGCCCCTGTAAGGCCCCATTTACCGCAGATTATGGATGAGGATGGGGACCTTTTTTCTTTTTCTTTTTCGGCACCCAGGATGGAACTTGGGACCTTGTGCTTGTGAAGCAGGCAGTGGTACCACTAAGCTAAATCCCTAGCCAGGGATGCAGACATCTTTGGGGGCACGTTATTCTGCCTATCACAGGGTGGGCCAGGTGGGAGGGCCTGCATTTTAGGCAAGGGGGTCTGGGAAAACTTCACTGAGGTCACATCCGCCTCAGGACCTGAAGGGGCCCAGTGAGGAACACTGTGTATATTAGGGAAGAGCGTGCCAGGCAGCAGGACAGCCAAGGCAAAGGCCCCTTTTCCGGGCCGCACTCCTCCTTGCTACCCCCAAACCACATGTTGTCCCAGCTGCCTCCTGCCTCTTGCTTGAAGACCAGAGGTTCTGAGAGCCCTAATGATAAATCGGGTGCAGTCACCGCCCCTACTGCCCACGGCTCCTCAAAAGACAGGTCGGCCTGTAAAGAGACGTGGAAGTGGGGGTCAGAGGGTGATGGTCCCACCCTTCCTGTCACCTGCATCCCAGACAGGCGGTCACCTGAGCTCCAGATTGATTCTCTTTGTGCAGCGTTGTGCAGTGTCCGTCGGCGGTGCCACTGGCGCAGGGAGGCTCTGGCCTTCGAGCTGAGCCCCTGGGGCGCGCGGCCCTCGTCGGGCTGGTAGTGGGCAATGTGGTGCAGCGCCCCAAACCACGTGGTCAGGTAGTACCCGGCTAGGGCGAGAAGGGGGGTCCCTGGTCACCCCAAGCACCCCTGCGGCTTGCTCGCCTGAACTCCTGCGGCCCTGCTGGAAGGGTGGGCTCACCCTCTCCCTGAAGCTCCTCCGGATCCAAGAGCTCCATAAGAAACTCCACGTCCAGCTGGGTCTCCCCGATGTGCGGACTCCAGATCAGCTCCTCGGTCAGCGCGGGCAGGAAGGCGTCGGCCCCTACGGGCTCTGGGGAAGCCGGAGGTCAGGTCCGGAGGTGACTGGGGCGCGCAGACACCTCCATCCGATTCCCAGGTCCCCGTGGGAACCTGCAGCCAGGGTGTGCCCTCTCCCTCCATGCGAAGCCCGCACAGGCGCCTTCTATTTCTCGGCCACTTCACACCCGGGGAGACGCCCGCCCCTCCTTTACCCCGGTTCTCGCCGCCCGCCAGGCCAGCGTAGACGTCACTGCACACCGCCAGCAGCAGCGCCACCTTCCGGCGAGGGGAGGAAGCGGCGTGAAGGTGCTCGAGGTGAGCGTGGATGCGGCTCCGCAGGGCGAGGGCGGGGCTCTGTCCCCCAGGCCCCGCCTCCGTCCGCAGG